AGGGGTCACCATAAGTCAGCTGTGACTTGACAGCACTTTCTACCAGCGGCTCTTGACCTTCCTGGCTTGAGGTCAGATGATGCTGAAGATCCAATCTGCTCCTACTCGGGGAGAGAGTAGGGGTCACCATAAGTCAGCTGTGACTTGACAGCACTTTCTACCAGCGGCTCTTGACCTTCCTGGCTTGAGGTCAGATGATGCTGAAGATCCAATCTGCTCCTACTCGGGGAGAGAGGAAGGCAAATCACCTCACTTCTCTCAGCCTGGGCAGTTTATTGCTAGAGGAAGTCCTTCCTCTATACCTTACAGGATTGTTTGCTGTCCCTGTTCCGGGGCTGCCCGGAGGCTGAGCCCCGTTTGCAAGGACGTGATCAATGTAAAATTTACTTTAAACTTAAATCACTTTATTGACTACTCATGCATTCATAGGGTCGTTAACTCACAATCCAGTGGAGGAATGACTGAGAGAGTTCATCTGTAGGGTCCATTGTATAACTTTGATCAAGAAGAGATGATTCTGTGTGTCTTGTTTGCCACTAGAGAATTCCAAGCCCATCTCTGGCCTATCAACTTCCAGCCTGCCTACCCTTGGCTAGAGCACATACCCGTAAACTGCACATGTTATCTCCCTCCAGCAGTCTGGAAAGGATTACTGGGCTGAAAATATATCTTTCTTTCTCCCACCTCAGACATCTTAAGGAGACCTTCTGCTAACACCGTCCTGATCCCCATCTTTCCATGGAAGAACCCTTCTTTGTTGAGTAGTGAGGATTCCTCTTTCAGCGCTGGGCAAACAGGTAAGCCTTCAGACAGGTTGGCATGGAGTCCTATTGGAATATGATACCTAGAGAACAAATATTTTAAAGCACCCATTAACTTCTGACCTCCTCGTTTCACCAACGAACAACACAGTGAGATGGATTTAGGAGGATTCTGTTGGAATTTTGGCCATGAAAAGTTCACAGGATCTTAAACCGTCTGGGAGCACAGCATACCTACCAGGGTTCTGTAGACAAAAATAGGGACCTAGCAACATCCCCAACTCCCATACCAAGGATCATGGAATTTTCTACTCCACCTTTTGTATGCTGTATTCATTCACTCTGCAGCTGCCTGCCTTCCCCTAGTGTAAAAGGCAGGAGTGCACGACTTCCTTGGGTTAACAGTTATCCTACAAAAGCATAACTGATCAGCAGTATGTTATCAGCAATTCAAAACAGACCTCAGCAGTAGTGATATGTGAATTGGCAGGCAGTGCACTGCATGGTGCCTTAGGATACGTCATATACCAGTGTGAGAGTGTAATGGTAAAAGTGTTGGGCCAGGACTGAGGAGACCTGGGTTCAGATCCCCACTGGGGACAGTTTATGACATCATTTAAAAGAAAAAATACAAACTTCAAAAGTTCAAGACAAAAAAATTACAAAAACAGCACAAAACAATTTAACAATTAAAGAATCAATAAATAATCCAAGTTAAAGCAAGCAAACAAGCCAAAAGTATACCCAAAGCACTAAAAGTAGCCAAATTAAATCAGAGATAAAGTAAATAGCAGACATTAAACGAGAGAGATAGCTAGAAGTTCCTGGTTAAGATCTTACCTCTGCCATGGTCTCACTAGGGGTTCTTAAGCAAGTAACTCTGAGCCCCCAATCTGCAATATGGGGATAATACTACTTACCAATCTGGCAGAGTCACTGTAGCAACTATGGCAAAATCAGGGCTATTTTGGGGCAGGA